ACCTGCGTAATCCACTAACACTTACTCTTCCTAAAAACACCAATTTTACTGCCAAGAACACCAAGAAGGCGATACTGCCGAAACGTCAGCTAGCGTTGTATTGTATTGTGTTTTTATGGAAGTAAATGTATGCTGTTTAAAAACCTCGTGATTGCTGAACAAGAAAACGACACATTCATATTCCAATGCCGAGGTTAAGAGAAAGTCGATCCTGGGAACCAATTTTACTGTTAAAGTTGTGTTAGAAACCCATTACAGCATCTAAGATTTGCAATTCAAAAGTGGGCACTAATTTCTCGTTAATCTTGTAGTACAACCCTGCATAGGTCTAAGGTAAAATCCGGCACAACAATGACCAATGCAGAATATGTGCTACAACTTCTCAGCAGCTTAACATAATGTAGGAACTGGGAAATGAAGATCAGAATAAGACCTGAAAATGAAGTATAATTTGCCATATCAAGCCTAGTACGATTCGAGGATTACCATCTGCGATATCATTGGCATTGTTGTTCACCAATTCGAGACCTAAATCACTGCTTTTGAAGAGTGCAGCAAAGATCGGTAAGTATAGAAAACTACTAAAATAGAATATTTAATAACCAACAATAAACAGGTAGATATACGATGAATTTTTAAACACGGGAAAAAGTTAAGGTTTCAAAAGAACAAAAAAGACATAGTAACAACAAGGCTTCCAGAGACTTCTAATGTTGGATGCAGTATTTCAAAACGCAAAGCAAAAAGGCAAAAATTGGAACAAAGACTGGGAATGGGACTCACCTCTCCGTCGTAAAACTCTCAGTGCTGAAGTTAGGTTTGAAATATGATGCGCTCGTTTTGAGACGCGAGGTCTGCATACCGGCTGAAAATATAACTCAGTTTAATCCAAGAAGCTCTTTGAAAACCTCTAACATCTCACCACCTCATTAAAACAATCCATAATTTAACGCAATCTAATATGCGACAAAACTGCAATCTATTCTGAGTAAAAAAAACTACCGCTGACTGAAAAATGATTCCCGACAGAGTTGTTATGAAATTTGTGAACAAATTTGATAATAAATATTCGTTGCATATACGAACACCATTTTAAAGCACATTTCTTTCTTTAAAGGCGCGTGTGGGGCAGTGGTCGGAGGCTCCCTGCAGAGAAAGCATGGGTTCGATCACCGAGTCATTGGCCCACCAAGCCCTCCATCCTTCCGGGGTCGGCAAATTGGTAGCAGACTTGTCTGGGAAGATAGTAGCACTGGCTTGACACATCGATAGGCCACCGCGAGTCATTATAACGCCCAGATATGCATTCAATCACCTTCAACAATGCTCAATGAAGGTGCATCCGTCAGGGATTGATCAACGCCAAGACATTTGTCCTTTACCTTTTTTTCTTCCTTTACTATCTGTTATGCAGTGCTTTCCATGAAATTTAATTCACAAAAAATTTAGGTTGATTGAAAACGGGGTTGTGAAATCATGAAAACCGCATCGTTTTCATGAAGTCAAACATAGGCAGAAAGAAATATTAGTAGCTCGAAATATCATAAAAAGGCCAGCAAAGCACTTGCGAACGCACAGTGCATAAACCGGACCAAAAGTTCCGCTCCGGAGAAGTTTTCACGACAGAGATATCATGGAAGCCTATCAATCGGTTCATGACGACCGTCTGAAGTCAATAAATAAAGCTGCCTCTTTAAAACTTATGAGGCATTGTAGAAAAACTTAGCATTCGCAACTCAACAGTGGTCAGTCAATTGGAAGAGAATGGAAAAATGAAGGAGCACAATAAATTAGTGCGGCATAAACTCAGTGGAGAGCATCACGACTGTTGGTATGAAGTATGCGATTAATTTCTTCTACGCAACAGAAACCACCTACCACTTATTTCCTTCTTGATCACACTGTAATAAGCGATTAAAAGCGTATTCTACGTGACAAACGACAACATTCAGCGCAGATAAGCTAGGTAAAGTGAAGCTCCTAAGCATTTCTCAAAACCGAACTTGCACTCAAAGAAGGTTATGGCGACTGTTTGAAGGTCGTCAGTCGGCTTATTCCACTACAACTTTCGAAATCGTGGCGAAAAAATCACATTTGAAAAATACTGTCAAAAAATCGAAGAAATTCATCAAAAACTTTGGGGTACTTGTCTAACTTTGGTTAAGAAAAAGTGTCCAATCCCTCATATGACGTTCGAACATACTTTGCACAACCAACGCTGCATAGGCTGAGAGTTGGGCCAGTCGAAACATTCTATACGAACTTTTAGCTCTACAGGGAAACTCATATCACGCATTAGGTCATCGCTGGCGACTTCAGCGCTAAGACTGGCTCCAGAGAACGTCTAACTTGACATTAATACAAAAATTTGAATCCTATGGGAAACAGTGAGGGAGAAAGTGGCGCTGTGGTTGGAGGCGCCACTGCGACATACATGTGGAATTGATCCCAGCGCCCATGGCCACCAAGCCTTCCATCCTACCGAGATCAGCAAACTGATACCAGACTTGTCTGCGAGGATAGCAGCACTGGCTCGATATATCGGTAGGTCAGCGCAAGCCATTGTAAAGGGCAAATATGCAATCACCTCCAACGACACTTAATGAAGTTGAATGCATGGCGCAACCCTCAGGGATTGATCAACGCCGAGAGCTTTACCCTTTACCCTTTATGAAAACAGTGGAACAATGTTTCAATTCATAAAATAAAAAAGTAGATTGAGCATAATGCCGTTAACCCACGGTACAAGATTTAGAGAGATCACAAGGATCGGATACAGCAGTGTACTAAGTTAATTCTAGGCAAAAAAAAAACGATTCACTAGCACAAAAAATATAATGAATGACAAAACAAAGTTTGGCTAGAAAAGAGATACTTATTTGTTACGGCAAAGATGTTATAACAGTGTACTTGTGCTAAGTAAAGTAACAACGGGAGAAATTTGTTTAAGCTTGCGGTGTGAAAATCCTCTACCTGCATCACTTGCAAAGATGTCGAAAGTCATATGGGCTAAATATTCGGTGCGTCTCAACGTTAGCCAGAGATCCGCTGGCGGGTGGATCTTATGCGATGTCAAAAACATAGTAAGACGACCACGACACGAGGATGCTAAGATGACCCAACAGCATGAATATGCTTTCTAGTCGGTACCGCTGCCTCGCCACAAGGACATTGGAGGCAGGAACCTAATCTTTGCAAGTTTCATCATCTGCTAAATCCTTTCACGAAGGTGGCAATTTTCATGTGTCAGACCCACTGGAGGGAGTGTCATTGAAGCAAGATCGAGATGTGCATTGAAATCAAGAGGTACTGACCGTGAACTCTGTCAAAAGGCACGGAGGACCACTTTCTTGAGGTTGTCGTTCTATTACTCGATTCTTTCACATTTTTTTACTTTTCTCTCTACCTATGCGCTATGTTCTGTGTACGTTTCCATGTTCTTTCTTGGAAACCTCCTGTGTCCGACGCAAATAAATTCGTCCATTATCTAACACGGTGTTCGTGATTTTCTCGTGGTTTTCTGCGACAGAGTATTTCATTAACTCTTTCATGTTTTTTCTACTCATCAATTTCATTCCACCATCCGAAAATGGATTTTTCCAAGTACAACGCATTCTGAACACCTATCCATGGCTTCGTTCCAGTTTTAAATCTCCAGCTTCTGTGTTCGACAAGCTATCGATCGACTACGAAAAGCTCTGCGCGGTGCAATACACAAGAAAATAGCGTGTGCACTGAAAGCAAGATGTGCGGTTGGAAACGTTAAGCAGCGTATATATGCATATCAGCCCGCATGGTTGTGAAAAGGTAAACGATAAGTGGGGGAATGAGTGACATATGTGAAACAAACCTCGAGGATGAGCCATACATATTATGACTAACACATGTAATAAGCCATTAAAGGAGAAGCATGGGCTCCCTAGTAGTAAAAAATGGAAAAATTTCGAAGTCTTGGAACTTAAACTCGAAAATAAAATCACAGTTCATCACACTTAGATGAGCATGAGAAACTGAGGAGTTATGAAACAATTTGCAGTGGTGTGATAATTCTCCTGCTCTGTTATAAACCCAAACCCACATAATTCTGCTTCGGAGACCCCTTTAACGCTTGTTTAGTTAACAGGAACGTAATCACTATTCGAAACCACGGTGTCGATTTAAATAATCGACTTTTGCAGAAAATTTTGAGCTACATTAATTTTTTGCTATAAAGTCTGTCTAAAACAGGTGTCTATGGAACAAATAGCAAAAATAGAGCAAATCCTTCTTGACTCTTTGCATTATTAACCTAACTATACACGAGTTTTTGACTACTCAGATATGCGGTAAACGCAGAAGCCATCTCTTTGCTGGCAGTCACGTATTCCTGACAAAACATAGGAGAACAGTGATTGCGTTCAGCTAACCAACTCTCACTAGCGACGAAGATTCACAAGCAAAAATCTTTAAAATAGAGAGATTCGTAGAGTGATACCCTATGTAAAAAATCAATATCTATAAAATTGGTTACACGCACCCAAATACAAAGCAAAGAAGAAAGAAGTGATTCATTACGGCAAAATGGTATGAAGATCAGCGATGGTTTCCAAATTCTGACTCGTCTCAAAAAGAATATGTGGAATCACCAAGAACAATCACGCGAAGAAACATTACTCATAGAAGCCATAAGGTAAAGTAAACATTAATAGTACCAGATATAAACCCACAAGGATGCATGTTAGGAATTCCTAACATTCATAACATTGAATGGAAAAAAATTTTGCATGAGAAAGCTATCGCTTATCGACTTTACAGCCGTAAAAGTTAGCGCAAATGATTCGAGAAGAAAAAGCACAAATAAAAGGGATGCACAGCAAACAACTGAAAGATCACTGATAACAGAAATATATTTTCCTAGAACGGAACCTTCTATAACCCTAACAGATTTTCGACACGACAAATTCTAAATGTCACTGCTCGAAATACCTTACTCCACTATGATAACCAACCGCACAGTAGGACTAATCAAGAAAGAACCGGTAACAAAAAGTCGGTTCAAAAACGAATGCAGCAAAAAAACGACGAGAACCAGCACATACCAGAGCTTCACCTGTCAGGACCTCAATGAGATGGCACAGTAGAACTCCATCTTTAATGTCTTCGAATAGATCGTTCACTCGCCCAGAGGAGCTATGCTGAACAAACATCATAGAAATTTCAAAACAATAACCGAAACGAGAATGATTGTTCCATATTATTTGGAGAAATTTCAATACCTCTTCTAAATGCAAGTTGATCCATTTAGTGAACGTATTCTTCTGTGCTTGCTCCTCTTCATCTGTAAAGCAACTTCTTGTTTACTGTCAAATCGGAGAAACACCCAACCAAGAACTCCATTTCTCTAAGTTTTTCAGTCCTAAACTGGTGCACAAGCCCTCCATCTCTCCGGGCATGACAATCTGATATCACACTTGAGCTGAACATTAAAAACACTGCTTAATAGATCGAACGTCAAAAGGAAGTAAGAAAGCGCATTGTCCAAATATGCACGCAATCACCTCTACGATGCTCGACGCAGTCAAATGCATGGCGTATCCTCTACAGATCGATCAACGCCAAGCGCTTTCAAAGCTTAAAGCTTTTAAACACTTTAGGACCTAAGGCGAAAAATTTCCTAACTATTCCCTGTTCTAATAAAAAGAAAGTAGTAACTTGAATGGCTTGTAGTTCATCGTAATTTAAGTCAAATACACTACCACAGCGACTTAAAATAAACAGAATTCTTGAAGGCATGTTTGGCAGCACCATAAAAAAAGGGTATACACCTCTTAATAACTCATAATGGGTATACATCGTCTAGCATACTTCTTGCTGAAGTGAAGCACACGCAGCACGGGCTGGGGGCCGTCGGAGAGCGCGACATGCGGGCGACTGCCGGCCGCCCTCCGTCTCTGGCCGTGTGGACCGGACCGAACACGGTCGGAGTCGGAGCGAGCGACGACGCTGCTAACACTCCAAACGCGGAGCCTGGCCCGTCGACCTGGATGTGCGACGGCTGCAAAGTCACTGAAGGGACAATGTATTTTGTGGTGGCTAGTAGTGGAAGACAGATGAAAAACAGACATCATACATCGACAGGATGCTCGTCGAATTGAAAAAGGTAATTCCCAAGACCGACTTTCTGTTAACCTCGGCATTAATTGATAATTCAATGTTTTTCTTCAATAAGCAGACACGAGGTTGTTATTATAGAATTTATTAGGATACAATAGCTGAAGTTTCGGCGGTTCCGCCTTCTTCAGAGCCGTTCGTGTGTTGTAGGTAGAAGGCGAAACCGCTAAAACGTCAATTATTGTATCCTAATAAATTCCATAATAATAATCTCGTGTGCTTATTGAAGAAAAACATTGAAAAAGGAAAACATGCGTGACTGCCTGTACTGGGAATCCCACAATATCTTTCTTTTCGCGATTATACTCTGGGTTATCAGATCATAACAGAGGTTATGTTCACAGGAAACTCTTATGTTTCAACGGATTCACATTCATAAAAGCAAAACAGGAAAAATTAAAGACAAAATTACATGTCTAACCGTGAGTGGTACAGAGCCGTCCGGAAAAGTACATCGGCCCGACGAAGTGGATTTGATTAGTTTCGAACAGATGAAATGACAACACAAACTGATCTAAACAATAACGTGAACAAAGGCTAGTAAATAGGCTCAGAGAATGATAACGAAGCGCGACAAAAAGCGATGAAATTGAAGCTAAGAATTGAAAACAGAGCGATAAGAAGATCGAAGTAGGAGTTCGGCTCAGTTTGCCAACGCCTCTTGCTAAGTGTGATGTACAAGTACCGACATCAGAAATCAGGACAAGAATTCGTACGTGTGGGCTTTACACATACGCTTCCGCCTGGATTAGATTGTTGTCATTCACTCTCTCACAATAATCTAACTTGGATCCCGCGATAAGTCAGGCTTGAACAGTTGGATGACTGCTGGAAACGCCTGACCTTTCTATTGACCATATTACTGTTAGCAAACTAATGAAGATTCCAATGAAAAGGGGTGGAAATCCAGAGTGTTTACTGATAGCGCTCGCATCAAACTTAGAAATCCAAAAAGAATGGATAGGAGCTCAGACAACATTCTTGGCTTGCAATGTATCGTTCTAGCAATGTTTAACAAAGTAAATATGAGGTTCTTTATATTGCTTTTGAGCAAACACGAGGTGTTAGCTTATTCTTTATTCAAGAACAAGCTGACGTCTCGGCGGATTTCGCCTACCTGATCCTGGAAAAGTTAAGTTAAGGTCCAAAGGTTAAATATGAGGTTACTCATGTCGCGTGTCCATCGCGATGCATTTTTGTTTCATTACATGAACTGACACCACATGTACTACACTTTGTGGATCTCAGCATTCTCGCATCCACCATCCACGAATACCTTCATATCTTTTCTGCGTGTGGGTTGGATTGCTACTTGAGGATTTTTTCGTCGTCATCACGAATGTCGCTGAATGCTGCTCGAGTCGATTCTCTTTGCAATCGTAAGACAGCGGTTCTAGGGCGTTCCAGCATGAATTAGGGGAGCAAGCTTGTTCCGGACTAGTCTGGTACCAATTTCCCGTTAATCCAGATCGCGCGTCTATCGCGATCCATTAACTAAACGAAAATCAACAATTTGTAAAAACAGATTTTCAGCTATCTTAAGCTTGGTCCATGTGTTGGGAGAAGGGTTGTGAACAAAACCAAAAAGCAAAATAGACGTTTCGAAAGTGGACACGTTGGAAAATGATTGCAGAGAATTACACGTCATCACTTCCCCACTTGTAATTGCCGATTTCCACGATAGGTAGCAGAATTGTCGACAGACTAACAAAATTCTCTCGAAGGTTCCAATCAAACCGGCAAGTTTTCAACTATGGTGAAAAATCACACGTTGGAAAATGATTGCAGAGAATTACACGTCATCACTTCCCCACTTGTAATTGCCGATTTCCACGATAGGTAGCAGAATTGTCGACAGACTAACAAAATTCTCTCGAAGGTTCCAATCAAACCGGCAAGTTTTCAACTATGGTGAAAAATCACCGTCGAGGAAAAATGGAACACGAAGTAGACGAAGTCTGTACGCTGTTCAGTCCCACGATGGTCAGATCTCAGTTCAACACGCTTAGATCCATCAGACCTACGGCTACTTGCTCTTACCAACTACTTTGAAGTATCGCGATAAATTAACTGCATTTGCAGAGCGCCTATAAAATTTTTATAATAGGAAGTCTGAGAAATCAACCAGCAAATCATACAGAAAAGTGCGTAACTTTCTAAGGACACCTTCTTAACTAACCTAGCCTTAATACAAATATGAAGACCGATGAGTGTGAGCTAAATTCCAGGCTAATTTGTCGCTGGTTGATTCGATCATATTATTACTAATAGATGTCTATCGACCAGAACGAATAACGCAAATCATTATAAAATAGAGAACGAAGCATTTCATTTCCGTATAGGGCCCATCTATGAATTTCCTGATGCGGTGAGCGCAAGTGTTAACCACATGATGACGTTGTCAAACCAGTAACTGCAGAAGTGCACTTAATTTTACTGTCGAGTGAACCTTACTACCTACTGGCCGATATTTAGAAACGGTTCTAGGACCGAATTCGCAGCTCTTAGATAAGAAAAATCCTCCGTCTAACCCATCGAACTCCAGCACGTTCAGTTATAACTGTTTTCCAGTCATCGCAACGCAGCTGAGTATACCACAACATGCAATCGATCGGTGGCCAAACACATCTGGCAGCTGGAACTGTTCTCGCTTTCATGAGCTGAAAATATAAATGTGGATGACACTATAACAGTGAAATAGGGAAGCTTTGTCCTATCCATCAGGTAGTCTGAGTAGTTTCACTCATGTAGAGACTATTTGGAAGGCGTTATTCTCTATCCATTCAAAGCTCTTCTGGAAATGCTGGGAAAAGATTTCAACAAACGGTGTGCAGCAACCAAACGCCACAGACACATTACATTACACATAGGAATGGAATGGACACATAAATGTGGAATTAAAAAGCAATTGCTTTGACAACAATGGCCCATTCCTAGTGGCAATGATAGCCCACCGAGCCGTGAGCTTACTGTTAACTGTAGTCACAAATTATGTCAAAGTGCTTCTGCTCTTCCTTGTCCGCAGCAACACTATGCATATATATATATATATATATATATATATATATAAAATGTATACGTCATCTACAGAAATCCTTCTTTTTTCGTCTGTTAGATGAAAATTCTTCTCAATCATCAGCACCAGTACCACTGTAAATGACGATTCAATGAAAGAGATGATCCATAATACTTTTATTTATTTACTTGGATGGTCCGTCGTCACTGGTTGTGCGAGCTCCAGCATAATCTCCATTTTTTCGGAGTTTTGTTTGTTTAGCCATTGTGGTTACCTGGAGTCCTGAGCTCAACCTAGCCAAAGTTTGCCCCAGGTCGTCACCACCACAGGTACCCGCCACCCTTGTAGATCAGAAAGAGATTTTCCGCCATGCGACTTGGTTTACTCTTGATTGGGCTTCCTGACAGAAACGCCGGACTCCTTCTCGGCTTGGGAGACCCTGCAGGAGGAATGAGCCCCCTCCCCCCCCCACCCCCGCCTTGTACATCGCAGCCCGACACCCAGGAACATCTCCCAACCACGATGAAGGGTAAGTTGTTGGAAGCATAATACATTTAATCACTGTAAATTAGTAGCGGATACCACTAAAACGATCACATTTGCTCTGCAATGCACGTGTGGTCGTCCTTTCGATCCTGTGCCTAGGACTCGCCAAGCCTTCCATCCCTCCAGGGTCGGCAAATTGCTACCAAACTTTTCTGGGAGGATAGAAGCACTGACTTGATACATCTATCAGTAGGCTTTCGCAAGTCCATTGTACATGCCAGATATATTCCGCCACCCCTAGCGATGCTTGATGAAGTCAAATGCATGGCGTATTCCTCAGGAATCGATCAACGCCAAACACTTAATGCTTTTATCTCTATCGTCACTACCACTGAACTATATCTTGCGCTGAACATTGCGACTGATTTCGCAACTAATCGACAAAACCAGCGTGCAGATGCGACGATGGTGGCAAACCATCTAGTGCTTATCAATCATTCACGGTTCCATTGGCCAGCTGAAATTGATCCTCTGCGTATAATAAATCCATTTTTTCAACCAGAAAGCACTTGGGCGAAAGCAAGCTGAGAACATACCGTCAAGGAATGCTAATCCCGCTAAACTCACGTCAGGAATATGAGAGAAACGGTGTAACGGTGAAATATGGAGCTTTGTTGTGCCTAATCTTATCTTCATCAATACTAGATGCCACTTGCGAAGCACATTCCGTGAGCTAAACATCTAATGAGACAGATTGGTGTGTGATCCACATTAATTAAAAATAAACAGTGATTAGTCACTGAAAAGACGAGATTTATAATATTTCTTCAGTGATATGCTCCTAAACGAATAAATATTTGGTTCTCCAACAACTTCTATTGCACCTTCAAGTGTGAAACTGTGAGTCCACTGGTAATCATTTATTCGCCCGACCTATTGGTTTATGGCCTCTCATAGCTAGAGGAGTTTCTGGTTGCCGAACATCGATTTATTCGGGAAGAGGAGAGGTGACACTTCTCAGAGTCGCAGTCTCGACATTTACAATGGCCGGAGAAAGCCGAGTTCGGCAACCACAACAATACAACGATTCCCACGAACGAGACTGTGTGATGGCCTTCGATTTCAAGACAATGTCAGCACCAAATCGTCCAAACTTTTCGAAGAGACGGATTGATGAAGCCAAAAATCGAGTCTATTGAAAAGAGCAAAGAAATGAGACACTTTTAGTAATGTCACAGACCAATACTTCGACAAATCTATGGGATTACAGATTCCACTCTGATCAACAATGCGAATTGCTTTATCTAATCGGCAAACTTTTCAGTGATCACCAAATAGAGTTGAATTTTTCTGTGTATTCGCTGAGTTTCACTTAAAAATACGTACGTTTTATAACTCAAAAGACCGACTTTCTATAAACCTCGGCATAGTAATCGATATATCTATTTATATGACCTTCTGAATTGGTCTCGTTGAGCTGATGGCTGGTATAGGTTTTCGTTGTCGTTGTTGTTGCCATTGACGCTGTTATTGTTGTCGTTGTTGTAGTTAGTCGATGGCTGACGTTTCGGCGCCTTCGCCTTCCTCAAAGCCGTGCTGTTATGAGTGGGATCCCAGGGACTATCGACCAACAACAACAACAACAACGACAACATACCAGCCTCGCATCAGCACAACAAGACCAGTTCATAAGAAGATATAAATAAATATACGTTTTATAATTCAGATGTGAGAAAACAAGATTAGAATGCGAGCTTCCAAGACGTCAGTTTCAAAATTAAACTGTCACCTAGGCGTAAATTTCCCGGTCACGTAAATACCTTACGACTGATGGTTGGAAAATCTACAGCGCTTAAGATCACTATGAAAACACCAAACATACCAACAGTGTGCAAGAAATACGCGTCGCTATGTAAACATCACGCAAAAGAAAGTAAACAGATCGAAGGGTAGCGTGAAAAGCGGTGTACGAGCGAGTGGCTCGCAACCAGCGCGCGCGAACTCCCTGGAATACGAAACGCGCGCTGCGTCGCGAAAGACGCGCGGACTCGCTGGCGGTCGCGACGGACGACGACGGCGATGGCAATGGCAATGACGATGGGTACTGTGGACGTTACTCCGTTAGATGCACGGACATCCTCTCAGTACGGGTCCTTCAGCTGTTATGCACAACGTTTGTATGAGAGAAACGGAGCATACTTGGCCTCTGTGCTGTCTGTTTTGTGGAAGGAAACGATTAGTTTTATGAATAAGTCATCAGTACCAATCTCAGATCAGATTCGTGCAGTTTAGCACTTCGTGACCTGAATACAAAATTCTGTAAGAGAAAAGGATTCTCACTTAGTTTTAGGGAAAGTTATATGTCCACAAAATAAGACAATTAGTGCACCACATCGCAGATGTATTTAAACCAAACTTCTATTTTAATACTAGGATTGATGTAATAACGGCACTATAAGGTCGTTTTTTCTTTCCTTGAATGAGCAGTGAGGAAAGTACAAAATCTGCAACGAGAAGCGAATGAGAGTGGCAATAACGAAACACGAGACAACGATGGAAGGAAGGGAAGGACTGTTGCCGCGAACACTGTGGGATGAGGAAAGTGATGGGAGAAAAGGAGTGAGCGGAAATGCTTACAAAGAGAATGGACAGCTGCAACATATGCTGCAATGGAAGCGACGTTAGACGGAAATGTGGGAGTTTGAGGTGCCTATGAAAACATATAGTGAGGAAGTGGTTTGAGAAGAAAGGCGTAAACAACTGAAGAACATGGAGTATAGAGAACATTCTTCACGAATATTGGAATGTTCTCTATGTAAATCAATTATAACTTTTCCAAACATTTCAAATGCTTC